TACATCATCTTTATAATGAAAAAATTTAAAAATCTAATAAAACTTTCAGTATGTACTATCTGGGAAATGAACCATGTATCTTATGGGCAGGGACAAGATGGGGAATCTGGGCAGAAAGCAAAGTAAGAATGACATTGTCCAAAAAAGAAATGTAGTCATTATCTGACTTATGAAATGGTAACTCTTAATAATAATGAAATTATAAAAATAATAATAATAATAATGAAATTATATGAAAAAATAACAAAAATGGGTAGGGACAGGAGGAAGAAACTGGGGGAAAGTGGAAGAATGGGCAATATTGTCAAAAAAGGACATGTACTCATCTGATATATGAAATGGTATAATACTTGTTATACCATAGTATACCATGTTATTGTTATACCTCTGTATAACACCTTAATAATACCAATAAAATTATGTTAAAATTTTTCAAAGATGGGCCTCATTGCTATAATCCTAGCTACTCAGTAGGCTTGAAATCTGAGAATCTTAGTTCAAGGCCAGCCCTAGTAGGATAGTCTATGAGTATCTTATCTCTAATAAACTACTAAACACAACCCAAAACCTTGGGCTGGGGATGTGGCTTAATGGCAGAGTTCTTGCCTAGAAGCCCTAGATTCGATTATTCTGTACTACATAAACAGAAAAACTCAGAAGTGGCGCTGTGGCTTAAGTGATAGAGTGCTAGCCTTGAGCAAAAGAAGCTCAAGGACAGTATCCAAGCCCAGAGTTCAAGCCCCAGGACTAGCAAAACAAAAACAAACCAAAACAACAACAACAAAAAACCTGAAGTTTAGCTGTGGCTCAAGTGTTAGAGCTCTAGCATTGAACAAAAGAAGCTTAAGGATGGTGCCCAGGCCCTGAGTTCAAGTTCCAGAACCAATACCAAAATAATAATTAATTAATTAAAAGAACAAAAATTCCCACCCAACATTGGTGGCTCAAGCTTATAATCCTGAGGATTATAATAGCTACTGTAGTAGCTGGGATTCTCAGGAGGCTGAGATCTGATGATCAAGGTTCAAAGCCACCCTGTGAACAAAAATCCAAGAGAATCTGAACTCCAATTAACCAACAAAAAGCTGGAAGTAAAGGTGTGGTTCGAGTGGTATAGTGCCAGTCTTGAACAATAAAGCCAACAGAGAGTGCAAGGCCCTGAGTTCAAGCCCAGGACTTGAAGTAGAGACATATGCACAAAAGAAAATTTACAGATTCCTGAGATCCATTCTAAGATGGATTTGGGCTGCAGCCCAAGAATGTAATTCTGCTTTGTTACCAGTCCATTGGAAATGTGCTAGTGTAGCGATAATTTCAGGTTGACATTGTGGTGAGGGATGAACTGAATTTTGTCCCATCTCTATCCTTTCTTCCCACGCCTGGTAATAAAGCTGGATCTAGAGCTATGTGGGCTTGTTGTTTTTTTCAAAGTCAACCAGAATTGTCTTCTTTTAGAAAAGTCCACTTGTTGTTTTTGGCTTACCTCCCATCTTTACAAGAAATTTGCTTTCTTGCCTGGTGGATCACACCTGAGCTACACCGGAGGATCTGAGGATTGAAGTCTGAAACTAGCTGAAGCAGAAAATTCTGTATAACTCTGATCTCCACAAACCAGCCAAAAGCTAGAAGTGAGGGTATGGCTCAAGTGGTAGGGCTCCAGCCTTCAGTGGAAAAATCCTAAGAGAGAGCATGAGGCCTTGAGTTCAAGTTCTAGTACTGGCACCAAACCAAAAAAACATTGTATTAAAGGAAAATTCTACTCCTTCTGTTTAAATTAATCCTGGCTGGTTTTTATTGTAAAGTGTACTTTTCCTTTGAATGCCTGTTTGGCCCTTCTTATAAAAAAGGAAATGCCCTGTCTTTATGTTTCACATTTTTAACTTTGGCAGGCAGACACTATTAATTTGTTTGTTTATTTAAGAACTTAGAAAGCTTTCTCTCTGGGCTGGGAAGGTGGCTCAGTGGTAGAGCGCTTGCCTTGCATGCATGAGGCCCTGGGTTTGATTCCTCAGCACCACATAAGCAAAAAGAAAAAAGGCAGAAGTGGTGCTGTGGCTCAAGTGGTAGAGCTCTAGCCTAGAGCTGAAGAGCTGAGGGACAGCGCTCAGGCCTAGAGCTCAGGCCCCACGACTGGACCCAGAAAAGAAAGAAAGAAAGAAAGAAAGCTTTCTCTCCCAGCTCCCTCTCTTTTCTATCTTTCTTTTGTAGCTTAATAACCCAGACTCAACTTCAGATGTGCCTTTGATTGGATTCAATTGGCTTCTGAGGTTTAATGCTCTCTCTTTCTCTTCCAAACCCTCTTAAGATGGGGCAGGAGGGATGAGATCAATGTATTGCAAAACCCATGGCTCAGAGACCCTGCTCAGGACTCACCCCAGACACAGGAGAAGACTTTTCTTCTCATCAGGGAAAGACTTTTGCAAGCCAGAAATCCATTCCTAGTTGGACAGCTGACCCACTGTCTCCATGGTTAATGGAAACTTTGTGTGGGCTGCAGTGAAAATTGGGTTAAATGTTTCCAAGTGTAGCCAAAGCACACTCTTGAACCCTGAAACGTGATCTGGGCACTGGTGGCTCATGCCTGTCATCCTAGGACCATCCTAGGAGGCCAAGATTGAAGGATGGAGGTACGAAGCCCAATGGGCAGGAAAGTCTGAGACTCATATCTCCAATGAACTAGAAAAGAAAAAATCCCAAAGTGGAACTGTGGCTCAAGTGGTAGACTACCAGCTTTGAGCAAAAAAGCTCAGGGGCAGCACCCAGACCCTGAGGTCAAGCCCCAGGACTGGCACATAACAAAGCCCCCCCCCCCCAAAAAAAAAAGACAAGGGCTGGGAATGTGGCACAGTGGTAGAGTGCTCACCTAGCATGCATGAAACCCAAGGTTTGATTCCTCAGTACCACATACACAGAAAAAGCAAGACAGTGCCCAGGCCCTGAGTTCAAGTCACAGGACTGGCAAAAAAAAAAAACCAAAGTAAATACAAAAGCAGATAATGCAAACATTAGTCTAAGGTGCGTTAGTACAAATGTAACTAGTAAGCTTTTAACTGTATTAACTATAATGGCCATCATGAAAATTAAGAGAGCCAGTACTGATATCTCACACCTATCCTGTAAGCTACGCAAGAGGCTGAAATCTGAGGATACAGTTAACCAGCAGAAAGCTAAAAGGGGAAGTGTGACTCAAACAATAGACGAGCCATGAGCAAAAAGCTAAGCAAGAGCTCAGAGGTCCCAAGTATCAGCACAAAAAGAAAAGAAAAAGAAAAAAGGAAAGTAGGAACTCCCTCTGGTGAGGAAGATTCTGTTTCTCTCCCTTTCCCATTCTAATGAAGCCAAAGACCACCAAAGCCCAGGACACAGGCTATCATGAGCACCAGAGGAGATGACACAAGCAGAAGATGACACAAGCAGAAGAAGGCTCCTTTTTCTTTTTCTGTTAGTCATAGTACCTGAACTCTGGGCCTGGGCGCTATCCCTGAGATCTTCAGCTCAAGGCTAGCACTCTACCACTTGAGTCACAGTGCCAGGTGGAGCTTTTTCTGCTTATGTGGTGCTGAGGTATCGAACCCAGGGCCTCATGCATGCAAGGCAAGTACTCTACCTTCCTAGCCCTGTTTGTTGGTTTTTTGGGTGCTGGTACTGGAGCTTGAGCTCAGGGCATTGTGCTCTAACGTGGCTTTGTCACTCAAGACTGGTGCTGTATCAGTTGAGCCACAGCTCTACTTCCTGCTTTTTGCTGATTAATTGGAGATAAGAGTCTCTCAGAAATGGCCTCTATACTGTAGTCAACCACATCATGTATGTAAACACATGCCAAGCTGCTGGCAGTTACTCACGCCTGTAATCCTAGCTACTCAGGAGGCTGAAATCTGAGGATCTCAGTTCAAAGCCAGTCCAGCTAGGAAAGGCCAGGAGACTCTTATCTCCAATTAACCACCAGAAAACCAGAAGTAGCACTGTGGCTCAAGTGGTAGAGGGCTAGCCTTGAGTGAAATAAGTTCAGAGACAGTGCCCAGGCCTGGAATTCAAGCCCCACAACCAACAAAAATAAACAAGTGTATGCCTTTATGTGTGTTTACCTGGGAAGTTGTACTTGGGGTTTAAGATCTATATATGAGAAAACATGCATCCTTGTCTTCAGGGGCTTGAATTACTTTGTTCATCATTCCTCCATTTTCCCGCAAGTGACATAATTTCTTCCTAATGGATACATGAAATTCCATTGTGTGTGTGTGTGTGTGTGTGTGTTGTTTTTCTATACATATTATATTTCATTTTACATATACATAAATATAATACATATCTAACATATACGATATATATCATATATAACAACATATATATGATTACATAACATATATATATTATATGATCTATCTATCTATCTGTTGTTGTTTTTGTTCAGGTACTGGGGCTTGAACTCAAGGCCTAGGCACTGTCCCCGAGCTTTTTTGCTCTAGACTAGCACTCTACCACGTGAACCACATCTCCCCTTCCAGCTTTTTGGGTGTTAATTGGAGATAGGCGTCTCAGCAAAATTCCTTCCTGGGCTGACTTCCAACAGCAATCCTCAGATCTCAGCCTCCTGAGTAACTAGTTAGGATTTCTGGTGTGAGCTACTGGTGCCCAGCTACTATGGGGTTTTTTTGTTGTTTGTTTTGGTTTGGTTTCCATTCATTTATTGTGGGGCATTTGGCTTGGCTATTGTAATCTGGGCTACAGTGAACAGTGGGCAGGTGCTTTTGTTTGTCCTGACAAACCCTGCACAGCTTCCTGTCATGAAGGGTGTGTGTTTAATTGTTTTTAGGGAGCAGCTCCCATTGTCATGTATTCAGCAAGCAACATGCTCTTTCTCCTCACCCCCACGCCCTTCACCCCCACAGCCTTATGGCTCCAGCAGATGCCTTCAGTCCTGGAGCAGATGCCTTCAGTGGACTTCATAGCTCCATGGGGCCCCACCCTGCACCACTCTCATGCTAGCTCCACTTTCCTAGGTTTGCTGTGGAATTTGTCCTCCAATGACAAACTCAAGAATCTCATGATAACAGAAGCCTTGCTCACTCTAACCGAGAATATCATCATCCCCTTCTCCGGGTGGCCTGAAGGAGATTACCCCAAATCAAATGGCCTGCTGGATTTTGATATATTCTACAATGTCACTGGATGCTTAAGGTAAAGCCATCCCATCTCCCCTAACCCCTGGAAGTCCATGAGAAGTCTGCCTTTCAGTCTTTCCTCTAACCACATGATTCATTATAAGATAATGTTTTTCAAGAATATGAGTTTGGCCTTTTTTGACAAAAGACATGATTACCACTACAGTATTTTATCTGCCTTACAGTTATTTCCTCTGAAACATAACTTTTCTTGCCACAACTGTCTTTTAAGTTTTTCTGAAATATATTACAAATCTCATTGTGCTATTATTAAAACCATATGATATTTACGAAGATATTTCAAAACTGACCTTCAAACTCCATTTTGCTGTTTTACTCTATGTATAATAAATTCTTGTTTCAGGGGCTGGGAAGATGACTCTGTGGTTGGATGCTTGCCTTGCATGCATCAGGCCCTGGGTTCGATTCCTTAGCACCACATAAGCAGAAAAGGCCAGAAGTGGCATTGTGGCTCAAGTGGTAGAGCGCTAGCCTTGAGCTGAAGAGCTTAGGGATAGCACTCAGGCCTCGAGTTCAAACTTCACAACCAACATAAATAAATAAAATAAAAAAATAATTCTTGTTTCAATAATAATAAAAAGTTTTTTTTTAATTTTTTTTGGGGTCTGGTCGTGGGACCTGAACTCTGGGCCTGGGCGCTGTCCCTCAGCTCTTCAGCTCAAGGCTAGCACTCTACCACTTGAGCCACAGTGCCACTTCCGGCTTTTTTCTTTTTGCTTATGTGGTGCTGAGGAATCGAACCCAGGGCCTCAGGCATGCAAGGCAAGCACTCTACCACTGAGCCACCTTCCCAGCCCTAAAAAGATATTTTTTAATGCCATTGAATTTTCTACTATTCACCAAAATGCAAATACAGTACACATCAGTTACTACTCTATATAAATCATTCTTTCTGTGTGTGTGTGTGTGTGTGTGTGTGTGTGTGTGTGTGTGTGAGTGCACACATTCTAGTACTGGGTCTTGAACTGAGGGCACTCTGTTTTCCATTCAGGGCTGGTGTTCTACCACTTGTGCCAGACCTCCACTTCCAGCTTTTTGCTGGATAATTGATTTTAAGATTGTTATGGACTCAATCTGCCCAGGATCCTCAGATCTCAATCTCCTGAGTAGCTTGGTGTGAGCCACTGGAAACTTGCTAATGATATTTCCTTTTTTTTAAATCTCTGATTTTATTGATGTTAGTTTCTTCCTTCCTTCTTTTGGTCAAATTTGCTAGAAGTTATCCATTTGATTTTGTTTTTAAAGACGAGCTTTTTGTTTCATTGATTCTTTGTATATTGATTCTTTGTTCAGTCTCTATTTTATTAACATCTGCCCAGATCTTTCTTTCAGTCTGTTAACTCTTGGTTTGGCTTGTTAATACTTTTCTAGAAGTTTGGGGTGCATAATTAGATCATTTGTTTGGGAACTCTATTATGTTTTGGCGTTTTTGTGTGTTTTGTTTTGTTTTGTTTTTTGGTCCTGGGGCTTGAACTGAGGGCCTGAGCACTGTCTCTGAGCTTCTTCTGCTTAAGACAAATACTCTACCAGTTGAGCCACAGCTCCACTTCCAGACTTTTCTGAGTAGTTTATTGGAAATGACAGTCTCAGGGACTTTCCTGCCCAGGTTGGCCTCAAACCATAATCTTCAGATCTCAGCCTCCTGACTAGCTAGGATTACAGGCGTGAGCCATCAGCACCAGCTTGCTTTTGTTTTTTGATGTAGACATTCATAACTGCCTTTGCTGTGTCCTAAAGGTTCTGGTCCATTGAGTTTTTGTTTTCATTCGAATTCCAGAAACTTTTTTATTTCTCCTTTAGGTCTTCAATGATGGCTGCTTAAAGTCAGATGTCTAAAGGATGGCTTCTCCTTCCTGCTTTGGGGAGTCACTTGCTAGTAATCTACTCATCCAGTAGGGTTTAGTCTTTCAGCAATTTTACTATTTTTGGTTTTCTTTTATAGGTAAGATTCCTTTAAGTGTTGTTGTAGGAGTCAGAAATTTCTTTAGCTTTTGTTTATCATGGAAGTTTTTTTTTTCTCCTCAATTGTGAAGTATAGGTTCACTGGGTATATTAATCTAAATTGAGAATTATGATCTTCAGGGCTTAGATTATGTCTGTCCTTTTCCTCCTTGAATATAGAATTTGCTACTATCTAGAAGTAAAGTTGTGTTTCAAATGGTAGAGTGCCAGCCTTGAGGAGAAAAGGCTAATAAGCAAGACTATGAGGCCCAGAGTTCAAGCACAAGTACACACACACACACACACACACACACACACACACACACACACACACAAATTGCTATTATACTAATGGGCTTACCATTGTATATCTTTTCTTGTCTTCTCCTTTGTAGCTTTCAATATTCTTTCTTTTGTATATTTAGTGCTTTAACTATACTATATCTAAAGGTGTTTCTCCTCTGATCTTGCCTGTTTGGTATTCTGTAAACCTCCTCTGCATGGGTTGCCCTCTCTTCAAGGCTTGGGAACTTTTCTGCTATTTTATTGGATAGACTTGCCATACTTTTAATCTTCTCCCTCGGTGCCCATGAATTATTGTTTAGTGTTTTGATGAAATCCAACAAGTATTATAATCTTGTAAATTACATTCATAATTTATAGTGTGTTTTCAATGTTTTCTCCTTTTTAAAAATTTTCTTTTTTCATTTTTATTGTAAAGGTGATGTACAAAGGAGTTACAGTTATATAACTCAGGTAATTAGTTCCTTCCTTCCTTCTTTCCTTTCTTCCTCTCTCTCTTTCTTCCTCTCTTTCTGTCTGTCTTTCTCTCTCTCTTTCTTTCTTCCTTTGTTCCTTCTTTCTTTCTTCTTTCTTTATTTCTTTCTGCCAGTCCTGGAGCTTGAACTCAGAGCCCGGGCACTGATACTGAACTTCTTTTTTTCAAGGCTGGCACTCTACCTCTTGAGCCATGGTGCCATTTCCAGTATTTTCTGTTTATATGATACTGAGGAATCAAACCCAGGGCTTCATGCATGCTAGGAAAGCACTCTACCACTAAGCCATATTCCCAGCCCTCAGTTTGATTTTTTTCCTCCAAGATTTCTATATCTTCATTAAATTCCTCTTTCATATCCTCATTGTTTTCTTTTCTAATCCAATATTCTTTTTTGGTTTTGTGTTGTTGTTGGTGATGGTCATGTGGCTTGAACTCTGGGCCTGGGCCCTATCCTTCAATTCTTCAGCTCAAGAAAGCGCTCTAATACTTGAGCCACAGTGCAACTTCCAGTTTTCTGAGTGGTTTATTAGCCATAGGAGTCTCATGGAGACTCCTACCCAGGCTGGCTTTGAATAGTGATCCACAGCTCTCAGCCTCCTGAGTAGCTAGGATTGCAGGCATGGGTCACCAACATCCAGTGAAATATTCTTTCTTGTTGTTATAAAAGAGAGATGTACAGAGAGTTTACACTTTTATGAGTGAAGTTATGAATGTATTTCTTTAAGGACAGTGTCATCCCTTCTTTCACTCTTGCATTGTTTTCTTTATTTCATCAGTGGATTGCTTGAATTCTCTTTGAGCTCAATTTTTTGTGTCTTCTTGCAATTTATTCAGGTTTACATATCGCTTCTCATTTCATTAGTCATTTTTATCATTGTATCAAGCCCATTGTTTGAACTTTCTTCTTTACTATGACTTCAGTCATTTATGGTGAAGTTGTTGGCTCTGTGTGTGTGTGTGTGTGTGTGTGTGTGTGTGTGTGTGTGTGTGTGTTGGTCATGGCCTCACATTCTTGTTTAGCTTTCTCAGACTCACTCTTGCACACTTGCTTATTATCTCAAGGCTAGCATTCTACCGCTTGAGCCACACTTCTGCTTCCAACATTTTGCTAAACGATTGGGATAAGAATCTCTTGGAGTGTGGCTGGGAAGGTGGCTCAGTGGTAGAGCGCTTGCCTTGCATGCGTGAGGCCCTGGGTTCGATTCTTCAGCACCACATAAGCAAAAAGAAAAAAGCCGGAAGTGGCGCTGTGGCTCAAGCGGTAGAGTGCTAACCTTGAGCTGAAGAGCTGAGGGACAGCACCCAGGCCCAGAGTTCAGACCCCAAGACCGGACCCAAAAAAAAAAAAAAAAAAGAATCTCTTGGAGGGGCTGGGTAGGTGGCTCAGTGGTAGAGCACTTGCCTTGCATGCCTGAGGCCCTGGGTTCGATTCCTCAGCACCACATAAGCAAAAAGAAAAAAAAAAGAATCTCTTGGAGGAAGTGGCACTGTAGCTCAAGCGGTAGAGTGCTTGCCTTGAGCTGAAGAGTTGAAGGACAGCACCCAAGCCCAGAGTTCAAGCCCCATGACCGACAAAAAAAAAAAAAAGAACCTCTTGAAGTTTCGGTCGAGGGGCCTGGCTTCATGCCACCATCCTCACCTCTCAGCCTCCTGAATAGGATTACAAATGTCAGTCCCCAGTCCCCAGCTCATAGTTCATAGGAATTTGTTACCTGTAAAGAATGCATTTGGTTTTCATAAAGATTCCCTTCAGTCTGGAGTTTGTCTTTGCTGATGTGGCCATGTAGACTATGTAATTCTTCCTATCCATGAACATGGGAAATCTCGCCATCATCTAGTATCTTTAATTTCTTTCTTCTGTGTTTGCTGGATTTATAGAAGTCTTTAGTATGTTTGATTATAAAAAATGCCTAAATTTATATTTCCTTGAGGCTGTTGTGAATGCAGTTCTTTTTCTGATTTCTTTCTCAGCCTGTTTACTTTAAGTCTGGAATTTCTACCAAAGATGTATTATTTCTCCTTTAGTCCTCTAAATCATTCTTTTATCCTTCTGCCCTGGTCTTTTTTCTTCTCTTAAAGGACAGGAGATAGAAGAAACTCAAAGGTAAGAAATTAAAATTCCCTTCAGCAGGTACTTCAGTAGATAAGTCCTAGTCCTTGGGGAATAGAGTCAGCTCCATCTGACTAGAGAATAGAAAAAAAATGCTTGCCCCAAGAGCAGTGAGATTCAGAGTTTTGGAAAACACTTCAGGCCAAACACAAATGTGTCTAGGCAACCTGAGCTAACAGCCTCACTCTTTCATTGAAGAAATTAAGCCCCACAGCCTATCCTTCCATTATAAACCATTTATCTTTGTGAAGTTGAGATCGGGAGTTAGTCCAGTGGGTCTGGACCACAGTTAGGCCTTGATTCCTGCTCTTGTCCAACCCCTTCATTATCCATTGTGTGCTTACTAAATGCCTACTATTGGCCAAATACTGTTTACATTTCTGCAGTTTCAAAGGAGATTGAGATCTGTCATTGCCCTGGAGGGATTCCGGTTTTAGTAGAAGAGACCTTACCTGGAGAGGTAATGACTGCATTTGATGAGACATGTAAAAGAAGTTGGAACGATTATGTGGAGGCTCAGGGCTGCCAGACTTATTGCTTGAGAACTGGAAAACTTCTGGAGAAAGTCACCTGGAAGAGCTTAAATTGGAAGTGAGAGTTATAAACTGTGTTTTATGACACCAGAAGTCTTTTTCCAAAAATTTCAAGATTATCTTCATAGTCAAAACTACTTCTTAAAAACCAAAACCAAACAAAAAGTCAGTGAGTGGCTAGGAATGGGGCTTAGTGGTAGAGTGTTTGCCTAGCATGCATGAAACCCTGGGTTCAATCCTCAGTACCACATACACAGAAAAAGCCAGAAGGACTGCTGTGGCTCAAGCAATAGAGTTCTAGCCTTTAGGAAAATAGGTACAGGGACAGTGTCCAGACCAAGAGTTCAAGCCCCAGGATTGGCAAAAAGAAGAATTATAGATTATTGTATTCTGGGTGCTAGGGATCAAGCCCAGCTATTTTAACACTGAGCTACACCCCAAGTGTCAAATATCTAAAAACAAGGATTATTATTAAGAATTGAGTTCAGTTGATAAAAGACAACTGAGAACTGTCACTGGTCTGCACTTGCCAGTCTGTGCCCAGCCGGCACTGATGGCACATCCCTGGGATCCTAACTGCTCAAGAGGCTGAGATCTGAGAATCACAACCACCGTTTGAAGTCAGTCTGAGCAGACACATCCAAGAAAACCCTATATCCATTTAACCAGCAAAAAGCTGGAAGTGGAGGTGTGTCTCAAGTGGTACTGCTGTCTGCCATCCAGCCCCACCAAGAGCCTGCAGTCTGGAGTGAAGAGTCCTGCCTCCCTTTCTTCTACAAGCCAGCAGCAGAGGATGCATTCGAGATCATTACTATCTAAAGATTGGACTACTGTCCTCCAAAAGATACTTTGGGGCATGAGAGTTTCATTATAATGGGGTGGAGGGAAAAAAGGGTACCTGTAAGCCAGACAGAGCAGAGGATCTAGGGACCTCTAAGAGTCTATGGGGTCCAGGAAGGGGACCCAGGCAAAAGTTAGTGCAAGAACTAACTCCTTTACAAAGAAAGCTGGCAGCAACGCCATCACTTCATATTACTATTTGATGATGGCGATGGTAAATATGTTATGGAATAATTTCATAATATGATAATATCTGAATTTCAATACATGGTATTACCTTCATTTTGAGATAAAATCTTGATATTGCAATATTGTATATGTTCGTTTCAGGTTATATGTTGGCATATTCAGGGTACAGTCAAAATGTTCTGAAATCTGCTTCAGCAATGGTAAACTTTCTTGTTTGAATATTAAAATGCCATGATGGGAATATTGAGATAAGAAAATAAGACAGATTGTTGAAAACAAGAGAAGGGGTCTTAATGCTCAATGTTTGGGGAAAAGGAAATATGAGTGTACCAATTGGAGATGTGCTGGAATTACAAAACAACAAATGGGGTACAGAACTGTCCTCGTCACAAAATATTGTTATAGAACATCTATAGAATATCATGTAAATCAATATTTTTCACTGAAATGTACTGCTTCATGTGTTTTTAAAATAAACTATTAAATTTTATTTCTCCTGTTATCTTTTCCATTTCCTGATTTAAGCTATAAGAAAACTGAAGGTTACATGCAGAACATGTTTTGTGACTTACGATGTCTTTTTGTTTGGACAGCTCTGGTCTTGCCTGTTGCTTCATGACACCAAAAGTTATCTATATAAATTGGTTAATAGGCTCCTGAGAGAATTTGATGTAAATTACAACAGAATGAAACTGATCAGGATTACCAGGATTATTTGTTTTAGCCCTTTTCAAGCTCTCAATTGAACAGTCACAGCAGCATGTTGAATTTGTTTAAAAGGACCCTGCCCCTATAATTTTTTCATTTAGTGAAGCCTTTGAGAGTTAATTGCTGAATTCTTTTTATGCTTTTTTATTGTAAAAACCGTGTACAGAGGGGTTACTGTTACATGAGTAAGGTAATGAGTGGAGATTCAACATATGCACCCTTAATAGCAGTGCTGAGTGAGTTGATAGTCCCTGAACCAAGGGGAAATGAAACTGTGCCCAAAGTTATTACAATATCTGGCTGTGCATTGTTATTGTTATACTTTTTTAGTGAGGCTGCCTATAAGCTAACTGGTTCCCATATGTTGCCTTCAATCAGTTCTTGCCCTAGCAATTGCTCTGTTTTTGGGGTGTGTACCACTGGCATCTTTGTTACAAGTTAAGTGTATTGTGAGTGTGATACATACTGGAAGGGTGGAGCATGTGATATTCCAGTGGCAGCAGCCCAGATCATGGCCAGAGAAAAGTGTGTGTCTGCAATGATCATTGGCAAGGTCCCCATTGCTCTTTGCATGTTCCTTCCACAGAGTCCTACTGGATTTGGCTGAACATTAAACCTTTCAGCCCTTCTGTAGCTAGGGCTTCACAGAAAGCAGTTTTGCTTGGGAAATTTATGTAGGTTATTGGTTTATATACCTTAACTATGGTTCTTTTCAAATGGACTTGAATTGCAATTTAGAAAGGAGCATATGTAATATCAGAGCTCTAGCAAGGGATTCTCTCCAGAGACAGGGACACCGTCTGGCCTTGTAGGAAAATGTCTTTAATGTGTGGAGGCAGAATTGAAACAAATGATAGCAATATCACAGATAAATTACGGGCTTTCAACATATACAAGTCAGTCTTAGAGGACAACTCCCATTGTTTTTGGACCTGGTCAGCAGTTTGCTATGGAGAGACTTTCAGTACATATATGGAGCTGGACCGGAGAGATGTAATGATCCTAATACCTGGATATTCTGCAATGTATGTGTCTACGAGCAGCAGGCAGGAATATCATATATCATCCAACACCTAGCTTTGTCCAGAAATGAAAGGAACTGGTATACCAGGTGGATGCAGCCACATGAGTGTGTAGAATGAAATACCAAATTCCATTTATGTTCATGGGGGTTATAAAGCATTAGCAGGCCATGGGGATGGATTGACAGATGATCTTGATATGTATGAAGTTACCACTAAGACTCAGACTAATTTGAAAGAAAGTGTGAAAACAAGGGTTATACCATGGGGGAGGGACATACAAAGCAACAAAACAATCACCTTATAAATATGTTAGAAACAATAGCAAGGAAGAAAAAACCACTTGTGTCCTTATCTTGGGGTTCATTTCACCTAACATCACCTTATCTGACCTTTTCCGCATGTCTTAGACATATACTAGTTATTGCAAATAAGGGAAACCATGGGACCTATGTTTCTTTGGGCCTGGCTTACTTCACTTAATATAATTGTTGGTATAATTTGGGGAGGGGAAGGGAAAAAATTGTTTAAATAGGGATACAGGTGGACCCATTGTAACAATGAGATGTACAAAATGCTACGTTGAAAAACGAACTTTACAACTTTGGTGGGGAGAGGAGGGGGGAGTGTAGTCGTGGAAATGGGAAGGCAGGGCAGAGATGGTAGGGGAAAACCAAACGTAATCATTACCTTGCTCATGTAATTGTAACCCCTCTGTACAGTATTTTCACAATAAAAAAACTTATTTTAAAAAAGTGTGTTTTCCAGATACCTTCATTAACTGTTCTTATCAATGGAGCTATGCTTATCTTTAGAGGACATATCCATAATGACACTTGAGTAATGGTACAAAATGTTTTTCTGCCCATAGCTTGTGATGACAGCAAAATGTTACTGTAATTAAATCTTCAGAGATGTTAACAGATTTTGGACACTCTGCCATAGCCCCTAATGAGTCCACATTTACATTTGGTGGATTTTTCTAGTGTATTCCCTAATTATATCCTTGTATACAAACCTCCAAATTGCAAAGTTTCAGAGATGGAAGAACTTTGTAAAATGTTGGGCCATGGGTAAAAAGTATTTTGGAATAATAATACTCACTGTGAATCTTGGGAATCTGGAAATAATATTTTTAGAGGCAAATGCTCTCCTAAAACAGCTGCTTCTGATGACAGATGTAATAGATAAGCAGAGTGTGCCAGCTGTGCTGCCAATACAAAGGGAGCCAATAATGTGATGGCAAGAAACCCATTTCAGCAAGCAGTAACTGCAGTGTGCCTGTCAGAAAAAGAGACCAATTGTCCTGTGAGCAGATTTGTAACAAACTCACAAGCTGTAAAAGCCATTTACTAAACTTGAATTGCCAGTGGGTTCAGTGAGGAGAGCAATGACAGGCTTGGCCAGCTCATCTTTGTTGCTATAATCTCAGTGGGAATCTTGCTTCATTAACAACTTGAAAGGAGGCAGACTTTGTACTGATAAACAACAGAAATATACACAACAGAAAGTATCACCTTGGGTTGGGCTGGGCTACATCAATATATCCCACTGGGTATGGGAAGATATATCCCCTATAACAAATGGCTGGAGAGCTAAAGGATTCTGGGTCCTGTGCTTGTTTAGAAAGGGCTGCTGAGGTAGGCTTAAGAGCAATTCTTACACATCTATGTCTATGAAAGGCCTGTCAATAGTCCAAACCAAAATGTAAGGCAATGTCAAGATCCATGGTCTACATCATCTTCCAATTATCCAAGCAATTGTACAAACTAGTATATATACAGCAGCAATACAAAGCCATGTGCTGACCATAATGCCTATGTAATCTCTTTTCCATATGGGCAATGTCTGGAGTGGCAAACTGTCACCCACTCTCCTCAAAATTGTTCTGCATTAAGAACTGGTGGACAGGGCTGCAAAGGTGGCTCAGTGGTAGAGTGCTTGCCTTGCATGCATGAGGCCCTGGGTTCAATTCGTCAGCACCGCATAAGCAGAAAAAGCTGCAAGTGGTACTGTGGCTCAAGTGGTAGAGCAGTAGCCTTGAGCTGAAGAGCTGAGGTACAGTGCCCAGGCCTAGAGTTCAGGCCCCATGACTGGCAGAAAAAAAAAAACCTGTGGACATTGTTTAGAACCCTATGCATTTATCCTAGTGATGCAGGAAGAAAACACTGCATTGAATGGTCTTGGCAAGGACTAATGAGGTTTGTTGAATGCTCAATGAAAAAATTCTTTTGGGGGGGGAGGCGGAGGGTATCTGGTCGCAGGGCCTGAACTCTGGGCCTGGGCACTGTCCCTCAGCTCTTCAGCTCAAGGCTAGTGCTCTACCACTTGAGCTACAGTGCCACTTCCAGCTTTTTTAGTTTTGCTTGTGTAGTGCTGAGGAATCGGACCCAGGGCCTCATGCATGCAAGGCAAGCGCTCTACCACTGAGCCACCTTCCCAGCCCAGAGAAAATTCTTG